ATAGAAATAAAAAATATATTTAAGCATAAAATATATATATATATATATATATAGTTATAGTTATAGTTATATAAATAGATGTTATATTTAAATATACAAATTATATTTTTATATTTTTGATAAATAATTTATATTGTGACACAAAATTATTTTAATCATTGATAATTTATTTTAAAATATTAAAATTTAATCTATAAGTAAATATGATAAATAAAAATTAAATTAGATAAGAAGTTAAAATAATATTCATAAATCCTATTATGAAAGAAAAATACATAAAACACTATCATTAAAGAAAAAGTTTCCTAAAAACACTACCACCCATAATATAGCTTATTCTTCCAAAATCTTTGCAATTACAATCACAAGTTGATCACTTTGCTATTACAACTAAAGCAACTTAAGCATAACTTGTAACTCCTTCCATCTAAAGAGCTCAGAGCTTAAGGAGTTTATGTGCAACCCATCTCGATCAAGGCAAACAAATAGCCTCCGACTTGCCCATGTTACCTTGGCCAAATTAAGTTGACCTCTTCCAACTTGCCCACGTTGGCCCCCTCACCCATCATCATGCAATAAAATCCTAAGCGATGAATCCCTAGTAGCTAGCCATGTATCTTAACATTAATATCTTCCATAAATACCATATTTTAGCACATTGTGATCACCTAACAAAATATCTTTATTTATATGAAACTATATTTATGCATTAAATCACATACATAATTGTGAGGATACTCCATAATTATCATGGGAGATCGTCTATAATGTTCTTGTCATAATCATGCAAGTACTCATGATATCCTAACTAGTAAAGATGGTGTTCTGGGTACTCCAATATCCACATTAGAAACACATGTAAAAACACTCCAACATTTAAATATAAGGGAGTACCCAGAACACCATCTTTACTAGTTAGGATATCATGAGTACTTGCATGATTATGACAAGAACATTATATATATATATATATATATATGAGATATCATTTTACCCTAACTTGATTTATTGCTTAGACTCCCTTATATTTAAGTGTTGGAATATTTTTATAGGTGTTTCTAATGTAGATATTGGAATACCCGGACACCATCTTTACTAGTTAAGATATCATGAGTTTCTCGCATGATTATGAAAAGAATATTTTGTAAACATTAGAAATGAAACAATAAATTTTTTTTTTCATTTTGAAATATTTTAAAGTTACGCATACAAGAAAATGATAAAACGAAATTAAAAATAGATAGTTATATATGATACCATCATTTTTTTTTATATTTCAATAATATATGTACCGTAAAATATCGTCCGTCAATCATTCAAACATGGCCCTAATAACGTGTGGTCGAAAATCTGAATTGTTGTGAAAAAAAGATGGGTTACATGTGGCTGTTTTGCCGGGTGAAGTGAGAAAAATGAACTGTATTTACTGTACATCCGTGGTAGGTAAACAGTAAGTCAGTAACAGTCATTTCATTTGAAATTGGAGAATTCTAAGCACCTTATCTTCTTTCTTTGGCTTCATCTTTTTCTCCGCCGGATTAATCACTGATCTCACACCCTCCATTATACCTAATACGCCCTCCAATGTTCATCACTCCGTATGTACAAAAAGTTGACTCAAATAGTTGCAGATCACTCTGTAAAAGAAGATCAAATCATACTAAAAATATATTTATAAATTTCCTTTCAAATATTTTTTTATTCAATATTAATAAAAATAACTTTCTTTTTGAATAGAATAGAACTTATATTTAAAATATGAGTCATATTGAATTTGATTTTTTTATTTTAAGTAAAATATTATATTTAAGTTTTATGAATTGAAGAAATGTGATCGCAAAAAATTTGTACCAACTATGACGAGTTAGATTTTCTGATAAAAAATATTTCACCATATATTTTGTATTATTCATTGATATAAAAAGCAAGAACTTATATATGCTAAAAGTATAAAATAATTTTATATAGTCTTCTAATTTCAATTTACATATATTTTAAGTTTGTTATTTTTTATAATAATTATTTTAAATGTTATATAAATCATAAATTTTGATTAATTAATCATATAAAACTTTTTACACTAAAAATGTATCATTATTAAACTCATATAATTAGGTTAATAAGAAAAACTTATTAAAATGAGTAACCCGTTAATATTTCCTCAAGATATATGCTATCAAACTGACTTCTGACTATTTAATATATCGGTTAAAACATTACCGTTATAGGCTGATTTGATTATTTGAATAAATAGTTTAATTAAGTAGTTACAAAATAAGTGTTTATCATACAAGTGTTTATGTAAAAACATTCTTACAATTGAAGAAAAATAAAATTAAACTATTTTTATGTAAATTATGAGCAGTTTTTAATTGAAAACAACTTATGAACTGATTCATTATGTTTTATATATATATATATATAAATATTCATACTTATGTCATAAAATAAGTTTAAAAAACTGTAAATAAACTCTTACCTAATCGTAATCTTTCAGTAGGAAGATATTTAGATTTGTTTGAAATAATTAAAAATGTAATTTTATAAAAAAATATTTATAAAATTTAACTGTTCAATTTTTTTGATATTTGTAATAAAATAAATATTACTATCTTACAAATATTAATTGAAAAATTAAAAATAAAATCATTATAATAATAAATGTTTGTTTATTAACGAATGTTGTTAAGATGTTTGTTAGATATTTGTTTTTAACAATTTTTTTTTCACTTTCAATTACATAAAATAAATTATAAAAATTAATTTGAACAAATTCCTTGATATAATACATAATAATTATTATAATAATAAATTGCATGAAGTAAAATTAAAAATCTAAACCTAGAGACAGTGACTATAGAGTGTAATAGAAAATAGTGCACTCCAGATGATGAGTGAATCGACTGGCACAAAAGATGAGAGAGAATGACTTAAAGCGGCAATGAGAACCCCACCTTTCGTCCCACTATTCTTTTTTATTTATTTATCTCTTTCTTTACAGTACTTAAACAGTACAGGTAGGTTGGATTTTATGTGTGTGTGGTAAGGGTCTCTATCAGTTTTCAGGGAGAGGAAGAAAGAGGGTGTGTGTGTATAAGAGAAGGAGGAGGTTGATGACTTTGTTATCACAAAGGAAGAAGAAACAAGAAAGAAAAACACTCTACTTCTGCTTCTCTATATCTATCTTATTATCATATGTTTGCAAAAGTCTCCTGCAAAAGAATTCCCTTGCTGGGAAAAGATAAAGATGATTTTTCCTTACCTTTGTTTTGATTCATTTTGGAAACAGTGCTTTGCCAGATTTGTATGTGTGGTTATGAGATCTTCAATCGCTTTCCTTTCTCTGACTCTAATGAAGACAGTGACACTTCTCTCTCCCTCTGCTGCTTCTTTAACGCACCTTGACCTTCTCTTCTATTCACTTCACTGATTTCTGCTTCTGACCCTTCAACTCTTCCTTTTTCCAAGTTTTGCATTTTCTGATTTAGCTTGTTAATTTACTTGTATACGTCGTCGTGTCTTCTAATTCGTATTTTCTGTCATGTTGCTTCTCATTTCTTTCAGTAGTGTTTCTCGCATCGTCCTTGAGTTGAAGCTTTGAATTCAAGGTGGGACTTTATGTGAATGGTAAGGTTGTAAGTTTAAGATGTAGGGTAGTGGATTTATTTGCTTGTTATTTTCACTGTATCACATGAGTTGACCCTTGAATTTTTCTGCTTCTGAATATACATAACATTGCACACGTGTTCAAATCGAAGAAAGCAGCTCTGGTTTTGGTTTAATTAGTCACTTTCATAGTATGTCGTACTTAGATGTATATATTTGATTCTTCTGTTATGCATGATAACCAAAGGGTTAGAAACAAGGGCACCCACTATTCTAATTTTGTGAAGGAAAATGTTACCGAGAGAATCTTAAAATTTCTTCTTTGCAGTTTTTGTACTTTGGTTGCTTCAAGACTTAGGGTTAGGGTTCTTTGGTAGGTACTTTTTGCAACGTTTTTGAAACCAATCACATTAGAGTTGCAGAATTTTGCCGTTTCAGAAAAAAATATAGTACTTTCTATGTCATCTGAGAGTGCAGCAAACTTATAATTCTTAACTTGTAAACATATTTTCTAATGGGAAGGGTTAGGATTCTATATATGCATAATATAATTTATTCTCCAGAGAAACTCTATCTGGTCTTACCTTCAAGAATAAGTGAGTTTCACAAACCAGAACTATATTTTATATATATCCGAACATTCCTGTTATGTTAGTAGTATATATGAGTTAGAGCTATGATTTATTATAAAGATTACATGCAGTGCCTACTGTTCAGAGTTTTATTTGATAAAATTGATTTCTAGTGGAAATTATCAGTAAGTTCACTCGTTAAATATTTCATAAACACTGTTATTTCTGTTTTGAAGTCTATATATATTTTGCAATTATCTTTGATTATTCTCGTGCTTACAGCAAATGTGATTAATTTCAGTTGTTTATTAAAGATCTTACACACTGTCAGTGGTGTTTTGAAGTCTAACTACATCTTGAATTATGTTTGAACATTGGCTTATTTTGATAGGCCTTAGATATGTTGAAATACTATAGCATTCTAGTTATCCAAGTTCTTTTTCCATGCTATGGAAATTGCTTTTGGATTAATATTCAAGCTGTATGTATTATTAGGAATAGTTGAAGAGAGCTTCCTTCAGTCCACTCATGGATGGGTAAGGGGTTTGAATTAGCTGCTGACTCATTCATTCAAACACAATAGATCCGGCATCAAGATATGCTATTGTGAATGTGTGAATGATGCAGGAGGTAAATTTCTTCCTTTTCTTGTCTGTGCTTGGACTGAAGGGAGCTCCCTCTTACTGTTTATAATATTATGTTGTCTATTGTCTGGTTAATTACTCTTTTTCCTTCTTACATTTATGCTGGAGTTTAGCAATATATACCTTCATTTTCACCTTGCTCTGGAAGCATTTTCAGTTTCTAATGAATTGCCATAATAATCATTCAATTGATATGTAATATTACTATTATGGTCTTGTATATCCTGTCTAGCAATTTATTGGTAGGACGATTTCTTAGTTATTTTTTTGTTGCTCGTTTCAATTGATGCATGCATTTGATTAACCCATCTTTCTATGTATCACGACTTGATGTTGTGTTGGGGATTTGAGATAGAACCCCATAGAATTTGTGGCATGGGGTTCTATGCATTATCTAAATGGTAGTATTGTACCATATGAAAACTTATCATCTTGTGTAGATGTGATATCAATGATTTTGGCCGTCAGATTTTGTGGTTCTACTGATTGACATTGTCTTTGGTTTGGTTAGTAGATTTTGGCCGTCGATGCACAATTTTCTGGCAGGGGTGTCTAGATCTGTTTTCAGAGCTTATAGAACGATGCCAAAAAACTAGTGAATGTAGTTTTGCCTCGGTACGTCAGATATGTTAGGGAATAACAGCCAAGTGTTTCGGGTTGAGATTTTACGAAAGCTTTTGGGTATAATTTTGCATTGGTACTTCATGTCGTTGTGAAAATGATCTTTTATTTGTAATATCGCAGTCAAAGATGAACAAAATTGATGGGTTCAAAGGTTTTGTATTTTGTACATACTATGGAAGAATCATCATCCCAGATGGTAAAGTGGACATATAAGTCCGGTGAGATGGAGTGCTTTTACATGTATGGGAATCCATGTTATTTATTACTATTTGCTGAAGAGACCTTTTTGATAAGATGATTAAAAGCTAGATATGAAGTGGACATAATAGTATGTCAAATTGACCGTGTTTGCTCGTAATATTGCAGTCAGAATTTAACAAAACTCCTGGTTAGATTTTGTAATTTGCACCCTCGTGTAATAACCGTTACCTTTAATTGTAAAGTGACCCGTCGGTCAAGGGAACTTAAGTGCTTTTTATAAGTTTAGGGAAGCCATACGAAATTCTGCTAAATCAACTTTATGTTTAGGCTAGTGTATCGTTATCCACAAAAAAGATTCTATGATATTTGTAGGAGGAAGAATTCACATTGTTCTGGATGACAATGCCTAAATTTCGCATGATATGGTCAGGTACATTTGAGTCGCTAAATAAATGGATTCTATTGTAAATTAATAAAAAATGGATACAAAATCAACTTAAACATACCCTATCTCACAGTAAAATTAATGAGAAATGGATATAAAAACAATTTAACATACTTATCTCACAAAATATAAGGTTTATCGGGAAATCTTTCTATATGCATGATGTGACACATCAAATTATACTTCATTTGGTTTTAGCACGGGGGAACAAATCTTAGGTCTATCTGAATGATAAGAAATTTCTCGGTAATGTGCATCACTTTAATTATAGCACATATATAAAAAAGAGTGAACTGTAAGCCACGTACATGAGTGGTGTGCAGTCAATGATAAGCATCTCTCCTTTGAGTATTCATGTTGGTTGGGTCACTTGGTTGGTTTGTCTGAAGTCTGAACTCACAGTTCACCTAAGAAATATGCCAGCATTGATTATAGTGTGTAGTGTGTCGGTCACATTATTCCCAAACAACAAACATAAGCAAACAATTGGCCACATAAAAGCACAACATCGGATTACTTTTTCCCATGCTTTTTTTTTTCATAGTAGGAGGGGCTTGAAGGAGGTTAACATGATCATGCTGGCAGGTGAATAGTGATGATTCTACATACGTTAGAGGCCTTTTATGTCATTTTTTGGTACGTATACATGTTTTTACCACATAACAATGTCAAAATATGAAGCAACAACCTTGCAAACGCTAGGCATTAGATAATAAAATGATATAGCTGGAAAAAATTAAATAATTTATATCTTAATTTGTGATGCTCCTTGTGAATAGGGCTGTGAGATATAGCTGTTTGTAGACTGGCAATCTACGTTTGTGTCGTATTGTTTTTTCTTATTTTCTTCTTGGAGTATCGTTGTAAAAATTACTGAATAACTGATCAATCTTCTGGACTCTGACCAGTTTTGCAGTGCCTGGAATTAAATATTAGCAGTGCAATCTGAGCCACAGACATTGCCTTTTTGTGCATCATTACTGTTCACTATGCTGTGTCTAGCACCCTAGCTAGAGGTTGGAACTTGGAGCTATAACGTTCTAGTTTGTTTGACATTCGTGAGATCTATTCCTTTTACTGGGTAGTATGTTTTTTTTCTTCCAATTTTCTCTTAAAATCTCGTGCAATATTAACTCATATGTTACTTTCAAGTTTCAACTTATTTTACTTGAAATGATATAAAAAAATGGGTTAGTGGGAATATTGTTATCTAGTATACTACTATAATAATCGTTCCAATATTATATATATTATTTATCGTAATCTTAACTATGCTTTTGTATTTTTGTTTATTTAAACTTCTTTTTGAAAATATGTGATGAGTAATGTTATAAGGCCATCTTAAGCCGCAGCTTAGGAGTTTCATATTACGAAATGATAATTTATGGTTTATTTTTTTAGTTAACGGAGAAAGCGCTTCTCTTTCTCATATACTTCCAAAAGGGCATGATATTTTTATATAGGTTTGCATGTGTAGAACTGAACTAAAACTAGGCTAGTTACTTGAAGAGTTCGAGATGCAAGTACAATTGAACTGGATCTCTTACTTTTTAACCATTTATTAATACTAGATATTTTGATAAATGGGCATGTGATTGGGGTCTGTATGCGTTAAATCATAAAGTTCTCTCAAATCTGAAGTGGATTTTCCAATTCCCTTTTGTCCATTTGTTAGAATCTGCTATATATTATTTTTTTAAAATCATGTTCAATGTAGATGTTACTGTAATGCAGGACCACTCACTAGTTCTTCAGGTTTGTGCAGGGACGTAAGAGTCATTTTCTAATTTTTTTTATAATCCGTTGTATGTCACGTGTTAAAATACCATTTGCGAAATCGTTTTCTAGGAACTTTATGTTGATGAGAAAATTTTCAATTCTTTTGATGATAATACAAAAATGACACTTGACTTAATTGTTGTACGGCTTAAGTATATATTTTAAAGTGTAACATCTCACGCTAGCCCTCCAACGATGGTGGTCCAAAATGGATGTGATGTGCATGATGCTTATTGTATATTCCCCATTAAGCAATGTTGAATCTTCACATGAGTGCATGGTAATGGTATCATATGCATGCATGCTGGATTCCTGGAAGAAAGAGATGGTGAAACAATTTTTTCTGCAGCATATGCAAGTGGGGTGGTCTCAGAAAGCTTTTACAATCACTAAGATTTATCTGAGAAAGCTGAGTTTGGAAGGCCAATCAACAAGGATGGTGGAGAAGGTTTTGCATTCCATAGGGTAAACAAACAGGGAACAAGGACAAAGAAAAGTGATAAATATAATAGAGTAACAAAAACAAAAGTCCATTATGGGGGACATTGCATGTGCCTTGGACAGTAGTAGTGTTCTTTAGTTACTACCAATTCTCTCATGGCTCTTGCAAGGGTTTGAGCCAATGGAGAACATGATAACACACTGTTGAGTTGGATAGCTATTAGATTCAGAAAATGACACTATACGATCTCACTTTTCATCCTTTTAAGTGATTAACATCCATGTGTGCGCATGTGTTTATTTTGTCCTTCATTGGCACCATTAACAAGCAAGCACAGGGTTTATACTGTTGTAGTCAGAATGAGTCAACTTAAAAAGAATTCTGGAGTCACATGTTTTCTCCACCGATTATAATCTCTTAAGATATCTTATTTTCTCAGGATTTTGTCTCTGTCCATGAATCTATCATGGCCCGAGTTCTCGTTTTCCACGAAGAAACTTGAGGATGGTGACACCACTCTCAGTCTAAGTGCCAGTACATTAAATACACTAGTGTGGGGTTTCACCTGTGCTGGTGTGGTCCAGGTTCATGAGTGTGATGGCAGCTTGGCAATCAATGATGTATAGAACTATAGATATGGTAAAGGGGCAAGATTAGTTATTCATTTGGACGGTGCTCTTTTTATATGTTAAATATATTATATATTAAATATTATATTAATTTTTCAACTAGTGTTTTTGAGCTGTCCTTAATAAAGTAGTCTCTAAAATGTTTTATGTAACTTATAGTTGCTAAAATTCTTCCAAATAAGTAGCCCCTAATGTTATAATCCAAGAGGGTTTAGAATCAACTTCGGAAGATGCAAGACTAGACAACGTGAAATAAGTATGATGGTGATGGTGGTGATGAAAGGGACATGGCATCTGATTTTATTACCAGGCCAGGGTGGAAGTCACTAGGATTATACTTTCTGTCTGGTGTGCTCATTAACCTCTTATTTATTGGAACTTGAATAATCAACGGGAGGATCTGGGTTTGGGTTGTTTAATTATTAGCAGGGGACAACTTGAATCTTTCAGTGGTGATGTGTGCATTCAAAACCCTGCTTTGTTTCTATGCTGCTAGCAAAGTGGATATCTTGTGTGGTTCTCTTCCTGATTCTTTTTTACACTGCCATTGAACCATGTGTTTTCATTATGTAATTAAATTTATTTAATAAGTTCAAAAAGGTTTAAAACTCATTTAATAATGTAACTAACACTTGATTGAGTTATATAAAAAAACTTAACACCCCAGAGAGAGTCAAAATATTACCTCCATTGAAACCAAATAAAATTGTAGCTCGGTTCAGC